AAAAAAGGGAGATATATGGATGAACAATTGATCGCTTGGGATTAAGCAGATTAGATTACACTCTGATTTAAGTATAGCGGAAATAAGGTGGTGGCACATGCATGCACGTGGACGAAAACCGTGGCATGTGGACCGCCTAAAAATTTAAAAAAGCAATCAAATATATGTAATTACACTGAAATTTAGCATGTTAATCAATACGAGTGATGTTTTTTCAATTTTATTTCTTCTCCAGCAAAGACCGAAAGACGTACAAATTTCATTCTAGCCTTGTAGTTCAATATTACAAAGTAACTGTATTTTTCTGCGAGACATCAAATTTCTTTCGAGGGAAAGATGTATAGTTGCGGATGAGGTTTCTCTCTTAAATAGACAATGAAGATTTGAATTACATCAAAATATAATTAATTGGAATGGACTGAATATGAGTACTGTTTCATCATATATGTAATTCAATAAATGGTATTCAGATTACACTGCACACATTTATTTATTTTTTGGTACTCAGGAAATGATGAGCGAAACTGGTTCATTAGGCCGCCTCATACAAGCTTATGGTTCAAGAATAATCATATGGGGAGTGCAGCTTCATATAATTACTCTCCTTTTTCGTTTTATTATTTGTATTATCTTTCTAAATTCTCAATCATAGCCTTCACAAATAGTTTCTCTAGTCTTCCTGAAGGGGCTTTTAACCTTGGGTCATGAAATTTCACATTGGATTGAACTTGTACAATGGCAATGACCATCACAAAATTAAACTATGACTGAAATTCAATCCCTGCACAAAATTACTTCCTTCAGNAGGTTATAATAGGATGGAATGGAATCAAATCAGACAAATGCAAAATAGTATCGTGACAAACCCAAATAAAAATATCAAAAAGGCCAAAAAGTAAAAACAACATCAGAAGTAGAGGAATGCTTTTTGTCTCTCTTTTTTCTTCGGACATATATATATATATATATTTCAACTTCAGCAAACCAATAATGCAGTAAAATAAAATAAAGGCTCATGAATGCATATACATACAATGCCAACTGACAACAAATCATCTCATCAAATATTAAATATGTATACAATGGTTTTCCCTTCCAATAAAGCAGGGGACACAGACTTCATAAAAGATAATGTAATAAAGGTCAAAATCATTATTGTTCCAGCAAATTTTCCAAATACAAATTCAATATGTATCTTCCAGTGGACAACACATCGAGCCATTTCTCGCTAGGTTCCTATTTCCCTTTCCTAAGTTGATAACAATGAGTTACAGATGATATGGTATAAGCTTGGCCAACAGGCGCAGTTTCTAAATAAGGAGCTAAAACGATAAAATACTACTTTCAAGAGCATCTTAACTAAGATAATATATGATTAACAATCTTATTCAACTTTTGAGTGGCGTCAAGTAGGAATTCAGGCCAAAAAAATTATCTACTTCAGCAACACTCACTAAAAAAGATGATAATTTCATGGAAACTCGTCAACTAATACCAGGAATTTACTACACCAATCAGCTTCAGTAAGTTGCTAGATAATCACCCTGTTAAAGTGATCCCACGAAAAATCCAAATTTTGTATTTCTATTTTCAAAAGTAAATAATACCACAGCTTCAGCATTAATCTCGTTTACATTCCTATCTGCAAATTTTGAAGCCAANAACTTTTCAAGCAAATAGCCTTATGAGAACTCGTACCTACCAGAGACATGTATAAACCTCAATGATTACACGTGAAATGTTCTCATGATTCCTCAGTCACAGTTTATTAGAGTTTTTATTTCTAACTTAATTCTCTTACAAGTTACAACTACTTTGGTACTAAGAAAGTTCAAGCTCTCCAAGTACTTTACATGCCAGTATAACATGACAGCAGCGAAAAAACAGTAAAGATGCAATTGGGGCTTCATCTTAAATTGAAACTGAAGAAAAACCATTCAAACAAAATTAATTCTATTCCATCTCAAAAAACTATTTGGAATCCCTAAATTCGCTGCTAACAAACATAGGCAGATCAATTTGAATCTCGGATAAACGAAAGCTTACCAAGGGAAAGCAGCGAACGCCGAGGTTCTTTGGCGGCGGAGTAATCGTGATAACTTTGTAGGGGTAATTGTTTTGACCTCCTCTCTCTTTTTACTTCTTCTTACAGAATACTCGCGGCATCTGCGTGTGCTGAAATTTGAAAGGAAACAAAAACAAAAACGAGCCAATCAATCGAAATTTTCGAAAAGAATAAACGAATTACATAGCGGTACAAATGTTTAAGCAAACGTGAATGTACCTTACGCAATGTTGAAAAGCTAAAACCACCCAAGAGCACGTGGGTGAGATGGTTGGGGTCTCTCCTAGCTTAACCAGAGGTTTCGAGTTCGAGCCCTGGGAATGCAGCTGTGTTAAAACTCTTGAGGTAGAGCTTTGCCGCCCTTGTGGTCCTACCCGGCTCGATTCCGGATTAGTCGGTCCCCTAAGGGATTCGGAAACCGGAAAGTTCATTGTACCAAAAAAAAAAAAAAAGCTAGAAACCGTCGCCATTGTTCTTCACTGCTGATTATTTACCTCTTTTTTTCTATTTTTTTCTTTGGTTATAAAGACTTAAAAACGTCTTTCACAGCGCACAAAATGCCAAAAACTACTTTACGAATGAGTATATTACAGAACAAAAAACAGAAAAACAGAAAGAGAAACGAAAATCAGCTTCGTGTTTAATTTAATCTATCCTAAAAATTGTCAAACTAAAACTTAATCATGTCCGAACCCAAATTAATAAAAGTATCACGGGACCTCTAGTCTTGTATAAGAATTGCACCTCAAAATATGTTATGGTGTAGATTATCATAATTTAACTAAACAATCAATTAACAAATCATATTTGACGCATGTCTTTAGTCTTGTATAAGAAAATTGCGTCAAATTTGTTCTTTGCCATATAATAATTTAATCCGCTATATATCATTTTTCATCTGCGATATTCAATTCCCAAGCCACGTGGCGCTCTGCAGCAATTCCTTATGCAACGTGTCCTACACCATAGCACACGTGTACTTGTACACGTAAAAGAAGAAAAGGTATCTATGCAAGCGAAAATCCACTTATCCTTCCCCAAGTTCGTGTTTTACATCACAAGAGGGATCGAATATTAAATAACCAAAAAAAAAAATATATATATATATATGGACATGGAGCGCCAGAAGGGAAACCCGAAAGAAGGCCCACAACCGGAAAAGAGCCCGACCAAAGACCTGAGAAGTGAAGTTGAAGATGAAGATGGCGGGAGCAACACAAAAGCCTATGACAACAGAGGAAATGACGTTTATATCTCCAACACAAGTAAGGAAACAAAAACGAATGGCAAAGTTAAAGGGCTTCCTCACCAGCAAGTACCCCAACCAAGTGACTTCAGCTCACGGGCTCTGGAGGAAATCTAATCTAATATGGCAAAAGAACATGTTTAAGGCAATTTTACCGATGATCTAATGTCTTTATGTTTCCATATTAATGAAGGCATAAGAATGCATATGCAGTTGTTAATTTGTGTTGCTGTGGTTGAGTTCTACACCTTTGTGGGCTAAACTATTACTGCTTGTTAAAAGTAGAAGTTTAGAGTGTTTTGGTAAACACTATAAGATAGATTATAGCTTATTTAGTTTACAAGTTTATTGTATTCAAATAAGCTTACAAGCTTGGTACGAGTTTTTTAAGAAAGCTCAAGCTTAAGCTTACTAAACATTTTTTATCATATAAGCTAGCTGTTTCACCATAAGTCATCAGCTATAAGCTTGAAATTCAATTATCATAGTTAGGTTTACCAATAATAGCATTAGCCTAATTGTCCTTTATCTTGACTAGTCGACTGGTTTTCATAGAGCTCTTCATGGCATCCAATCTGCGTAAAACAAATGACACAACAAACAAATTCATGATTTGTACTCGTTGTATAATTGAGGAGTGGCATTGTACCACCTTACCTCAACTAGTTGCCCGTTGTTCAATACCAAAATTCTGTTGGCAGCTTTTATTGTAGACAGCCTGCAGAATTCAGGTTAAAAACGTGCGAGCCGAATCATACTTTTTGGTATGTTAAAAAAGGTTATTAGAATAACTAACCGTTTTGCTATTATGATGACAGTCCTCTGTCTTTGTGGGTTTTTTTTCATAGAATGAAGAATCTCCTATAGAGAGAGATACATGCATTGGGTTATAGGGACAGTAACATAAATAGATAATGATTTTGGACCCAATTAGGCTTTCTTTCCTAGAAGAAAACATGAGTGCAAGAACATAACTTTTTCAAATGTTGGAAGTCAGGTGAGTGTCAAAGGGTATCTTATGTTGTTATTCCCAACTAAGATTTCAATGCAGTTAAGGTTTCTTTCTTACAAGAAAGCAAAGAAAAAGGACTAAAAAACATTGGG